GGATCCGCACCGCCCGTTTGGCCGCGGCTTGCTGCCCGGTCAGGCTGAGCAGTGAGCATAAACAGGGACATCCATGCTGCTGGTTTTATTAAGTGTTGCTATCACAATACAACCACCCTTTCATTTTCTACAGCAGAAATAGAACAATTGCTTTTGAATGTCTCTATGAATGCGCAGAGACTGTAGAGCGTGAAGCTGCAGAATCAAGATTCGATAGCGTTTGTGTGTCCGGCTCAGGTTTTGTTTTTGCATTAACTGCTTTCTGACACGTCTTGACTCTCCTGCACAGCAGCTTTTCTACAAAGGGTTTGCACAGGAACATGTATATCAGGGGGTCCATGCAGACGTTGGTGGCAGCCAGCCACAGAGTGCTTTCTTTTGCCACAAAGAGCTGGTTCTGCAGGCGGCAGTTCATGCGCGTGGTCGTTTGGCTCAGGGTGTAGGGGACCCTGGTGAAATGGAAGGGGGCGAAGCATAAGAAGAACACGGTAAAAATGATGAATACTTTCCCCTTGATCCTTTGTTTGCTTTTGCTGTTTTTCTTCTTTGTTTTTATATAAGACTCGTAGACCTTTTTGGCAATGACTATGTAAAATAGAAACATGAGGATGAGAACAGTCCAGAAGACAAACTGACAGATATAATTGACAGCTTCATGCCATTTGAGTCCAAAGTAGCTCTTCAGTGAAGCACATTTCTTCACGGATTGAGGCGTTGTTTTCTTGTTTGAGAAGATCATATTAGGCAGAGAGAGGACAGAAAAGAAGAGCCAGACCAGACCAGCAAGGATCTTTGCTGAGGTCAGGTTTTGAACCCAATACTTCCCGAAAGGTCTCACAATTTTGAGAAATCTGTCAAAAGCAATGAGACCAAGTAGCACTATGCTGATATACATGGTGTTGTAGAACACTACAGCTGAGAAGCGACAGACAAAGGCTTTGAGTTGCCATGGTCCCAGACCAGAGTCTGTCAGGATTTTCAGAGGGAGCATCAGGGTCATTATAAAATCAGAAACTAAGATATTCTTCAGATAGACAATGAAAGTTGATGTGCTTGGAATATGGAAGAAAGCCCAGAAAGCCAGGCTGTTCAGGACCAGTCCCAGGAGGAAGACAAGCGTGTAGAGTACTGGGAAGACCAGGTGGGTGACTGTGGTGTCTCGGTGGCACGGCGCAGAGGAGGGTGCTTCACTGGCATTACTGGCAGTACTCTCATTTGCATAGTCTTCCATTGTTCGAAACAGACTTGGGTGAAAACGAGAGAGAAAATGTAAAAAGTAACATTCTGCATTTAAAATCACTTTCTGTACTGTGACTGACAGGTTTACACAAAGAAATGCAAAATCTGAATAGGTATTAAATAGACCAACTCATTTCTCTTCTACTTCATAGAAAGTCTAAATCTTTGCCTGAATTTAAGTTGTTTACGAGGACATGTGAAAATGGTGTGTATGGAAGCCTAAGATAAGATAGCAGCAAGGTGTAACAGCAGATTGCCAGAGCACCGCTGGGCTTTACATAGAAATGTGTTTTAATGTTGCATAGAAAGTACATAGAAATAGTTGCAGCCCAAAAGCAAGGTGCTTCTCGGAATGTGACTTTGGATATTTCCTACCAAGCACACACCGTTCTCCCTTCCTCAGAACAGCTCTGAGTAACATTTTCAAGATAAGATGCACTCAATGGGTTATCAGCCTCGTGCATCTGAGAGCCAGATCACTGAGTGCCCATCACGCCACGTGAACGCTCCGATCGTACCTGAGCAAACCTGGCAGCAGCTGTTTCAGGGCTATCTCTGGGTCATCTGCTGTTCCTCTGCTGACAGAAGCCTCAAGCAAAGTACGGGGAATAGGGAAACGTGTAGAAAGATGAGACTTTTTCTGTTGGCGTGTTGTTTCCTTCCTCATTTTCACGTGTTGCTCAAGTTAGTTAATCACATTGGCTGTTGCTTTTCTGTCTTCCTTCTACCCCCTGTCAGAAAGTACATCACTTCTGCTCTACTAATAAAGAAAAACCATCCATATCCATCAAGACAGATGAATTTTCTCGCTTCTTGTTTGTATGAGGCGGACCTGATGGCAGCTGTACTGTGCATTACGATTTGGCTCCTTCAGAGGTGTGGGATGAACACACAGAGTGTTTTATGATACTTTGCCAGGATAACCCTCGAATGCAGCTCCAGGTTCTTGTCTGTGTGTGTTTATTCCCTGGCTCTGGACAGCGCTAGTTGTCATCAGGTGTGTGACCAGAAAGTCTGCTCAGAGCCATCTTTACAGTGGGTTACTTGGCTACAGAATCATCTGCACTGACATACTCAAACTGTACCCTCCCTCGGCAGCCTGCTAATATTGACACGTGAACCTGAGCTTGACTCTTGATATCCAGAATGGGATTCCTGGTTTGTTTTGCTGTCGTTGTAGCCAGGTGATACAGCCATTCTGTTCTGGCAGGAGCTGCTGCAGCATGCTGTGCTTTCTGTTTGCTGTGTATAATGCCGGGATCTGGTGTGTTCCTGTGTAAACAGAAGTTTCTGTGGCAGTTGGAGTGATGTGATTTGTGTTTTCCCGTCAGCTGATGTGACATGTGGCACTGGCTTCTTGCTTGCTGCCAGGTGGTAGTGGCTCACCTTCAGGCTGTCCGTTTGTGGACAGACAGGGGTTGCTTTTTGAGGTTCTCAAGCTGCAGCTGCATTGACAGTAAGTTTGTGCATCAGTACCTACATTTCGGTTACTGTAGGTGTGCATGCTGCTGTCGGTGTTAAATGACTGGCAGAGGGCAAAGAGCCTTGAGGATAACTGGGATAAAGGTGACCATCACCACTCTTACCCATACAATGTGTCCCTACCTGCCTGACCCAACTTCATTAATCAAGGACTATATAAACCTGAGTCTGTCCATTGCAGTATCCCAGCACTGATGCACAAGGCAGCATCTTTCATGTTTTCTTCCATACTACCCTGTGCCAGAGGATGTTTAGGTTGGCTATTAGGAAAAATTTAGTCCCTGGAAGGGTTGTCCAGGCCTGGCCCAGGCTGTCCAGGGCAGTGGAGGAGTCCCCATGCCTTACATGGGCATAACCCTGGAGGGGTTTCCAAGCTGTGTGGATGTGATGTGGAGGGACATGGTTTAATGGTGCCCTGGCAGTGCTGGGGCAGCGGTTAGACTCCATGATCTTAAAGATCTCTTCCAACCAGAATGATTCTGTGATTTTATGATTCTTGACACTTCCCTGCTGCAAGAGGCAGGCACCACATTTTCTGTGGAATAACCCCGTTCCCCATGGTAATTGGTGTTGATGCAGGTACCAGCAGAAGCAGCGCACGACATGTGACACGTGGTTATAAAATATTTAATTCATTTAAGCAAGTTATAAGAGATGCTAAGGCTGAGGGCTAAACTAAGTGAACTGTCTTGTAACCTTGTAGGACATTGGATATCAGTTGTAGAAGTGGCCAGTGCCCTGGCAGGCACCACTAAGTGCTGGAGGAGGGCAGACAGGCAACGGCTTCAGGAAAGGCTGAGCATCGGCGCAGTGGTGAAATGCTCCTGACTTGGGGTGGTTTTGCAGCGATGATAAATGAACCATAGTTTATTACAGCAGCCTAGGTTTCTTGTCATGTGTGGTTGTTGCAGTAGCTGGAGGCGTCATGTACCTGAAAATACTTCCCTGTTTGTTTGTTTTCTTTTTCCAAATAGAAAAGGGGAAGTGGTTTGTAGAGTGCAAAAAAGTTGCCTTTACTGATTATTAGAGGCTTTACCATGAGTCTTTCTTTCCCAAAAATCTAAGTATCCTGTAAACTGAATCTTTGTGTATTTTCCAGTATACTATATTCTCTATAAAAGTGTACATTTTTGTTTATTCATATAGTAAGGTGAGGTATTTGAAGATTTAACTCACTCCAACATAAGCCTGATTATGAAATAATTTCCTCTGGCAGGCAGCTATTAATTGTTGGTCAGTGGATTAAGAATTGCAAGCGTATAATGAGGTAAGGAAAATGTTACTCGGTTACCAAAAATCTACACAGATAAATAGCTCATCAATGTGGCCTATATTTTTCTTTGCCAGTTGCATACAAGGTGACAAATCCCTGTATTTAGGAAATAACTTTTACCATGGAATTTATTTGCGTTTCCCAGATCTTGTGTTGCCAGGGACTTTTCTTTTTCCCCAGTTAAGCTACTTCTGCAAAATCTTTTCAGTTAATAATCTCATTTGTAGCATTTCACGACTGTTTTAACTTTTTCCTTGCAGCTCCAACTATAAGTTCAAAATTCCTCCCAGCACTTCTGACAAGCATGGAGGGTGTGATCGGGTGGTGCTCTTGTTTTATTTAAGCTTTCTAGCTCCACCATATTTCCAGCCAGTTATGTTGGTTCCAGGGTGCTCATGTTTTGTTGTAGGACAATTTCTAAAGAGGTCGGTGACATTCTAGGTATTCTTCCACAGGCTTTGTGCTGCTTCTGCCTGCTAATAAACATATGTGGCCAAGAAAGGGCACGGGTAGTTGTTGGCTCTAGAACGGTGTCTCGTCTGTGTCATCACCGCCGTTCTGCTCCTTCATCTGTGCTCGGAGTTCCAATGATGCTGTATGCTTGCACAGCATGTCTAGCAAGGACTTCCTAAATGATTTGCAAAGGAAAAAGTATATGAAGGGATCTAGACAAGCGTTCAGCGATGTCAGCCACAGCGTGCTCTCCTTCATGTAAAACAGGGTATTCTGAGCAGAGCATTCAAAAACGTCCCTCGTTTGGCTCAACGTGTAGGGGATTCTAGTAAAGTGAAAAGGCACAAAACAAATAAAGAACACTGCGATAATGATGAAAACCTTCAGATTTACAGTCTTTTTGGATGCCTTTCCTGTGCATCTTGTCCTTTTATAGGATTTGTACAGTTCTTTACTTATGAGTATGTAGCATACAACTATGACTGCTAAATTAACCCAGAAGATAAGCTGACAAATATAGTTTACAATTTCGTGCCAGACTAAGCCAAACTCGGATTTCAAAAGAGCACACTTTTTTACGTTCTTAGGTGTTTGCTTTTTGTTTGATAGAATCATGTTGGGTAATGAAAGAACAAACATTGTTATCCAAATGGCTGTGGACAGGATCTTGGCACATAAAAGGCTCCTTGGTGTCGATGTTCTGAACGGCGAAGTGGCTTTCTGATAGCGATCGATAGTTATTAGACCAAGGAACAAAATGCTAATGTACATGGTGAAATAAAATATGACCTGGGTGACCTGGCACACAAACCCTCTCAGTACCCATGACACCAGCTTTGCATCGCTGAGGATTTTAAATGGAAAAGTCAAGGTCATGAGGAGGTCAGAAATGACAGTGTTCTTGAGGAAGATGATGAAATTGGATTTACTGGATATTTTGAAAAAGACCCATATTGCCAGGCTGTTCATGGTGATACCCACCAGGAACAGAATTGTATAAAGCAAGGGAAAAATGACTTGACTGATTTTGTGATCACTGGCACAGTTGCTGTCATTTCTAGAGTAGCTGAAATTGGTTGTGGCTTTCATTTGCACTTCGTCCTTACTCCGCTCCCTGTAAAAGCAAAAACAAAACAAACAGTTATATCTGTCATAAGTCTTCAACCTTTTTATTTTACATTTATTTTTCAACTTATTTATTTATTTTACCAAGGTTTTTACAGGGGAAGAGTACTAGATGTGGCCATGTTTTTAAGGTGGCTTGATTTGACCGTCTGTGACCGAAATGCTGAGGTGAGCCTCCCTCCAAGCCTCCTGGCTGCAGATTTAACAGTGCCAGGTTGAAGTAAAAGGAATCAAATGCCCTTTTTTTATGGTATTTGCAGGCCATCTGTCTCTCCCCGTGGCATGGTTTCAGCCTCGCTTTTGGTTGTCCTTGAAGCTGCTCTCTGCCTTCTCCTCCCTGTCCCTGTGCAGACCCTGGGCATAGCTGCTTGCAGGCTGCCACCATTCCAGCGTGGATGTGGTACCCCACAGAGTCACTATTTGTTGCTTCCAAAGGGAAGCAAGTGAGAGAGGAGGACCTGCTCTTCAACCCTCTGTGTTAGTACCTGGGCACATGATGGTGGTGTTACTTCATATTTGCTAGCAAAGTCTGAAGTTATTAATAGCTGTATTGCTGTAGCTACTCACATATATCTTCTAGTTTGACAGTTTATCATGTAATTTTCCTAAATTGATAGCTTTATGGGTGCTGTGTTGCAAATACACTTGAAACTTCACTGACTTGAGCCAACATGTGGGAGCTGCAGCTTCCCGTGCTCTGCAGCGAGCACCAGAGTTGCTGCTGGAACCCCTCTGAGCCCCTCGGGCCACAAAGCAAAGAGCCTGTGGGCTGGCTGGGCACCCACAGACACCGAGCAGTTGACAACTGCCCGGCTGGTAACAGCAGGTGGGCTGGAAGCTCTTCATAGCCTGAAATCCTTGGTTGGATCAGGTCTGATCTGAACCTGGGAAAGCCAGGCAGGGATGTTGAATCTGTCAGTGTTGCGTTGCAAGAGGAGTAGCTGTCAGGTGTGTAGTGAGGCAACTGTAAAAATATATTTCTGTACAGGAAGGCGCTCAGGGGAGCTGTTGCTTTGCCGACCGATGCCCAAACATCCCTGACATCTTCCTTACAGAGCCACAAAATTTTATTTCTATCTTGCAGATAGAAATAAATTGGCTTATGCTTTGAGACGTGTAACTGATTCAACTGCCAAGTGCCATCTTGATGAAATAGGTGTTTCCTAAGTGTGTGACATCGCAGACCTGCCCCAGCCCAGAGTCTCAGCGAAGGTCACCGTGGGCGGTTGCTGCGGGGGAACCGGTGCTGCTGGTGGGTGGTTGGCTGTGGTGCCTCTATCTCCTCAGCGTGGGAGTGGCAGGAGGGTTCCTCTGTAAACCCCTTGGAGCAGGGAGAGGCTGGAGGAGCAGCTGCACATCCCAGTTCTGAGACTCAGACCTTCCTCTGGCTTTGGACTGGTTTCTTAGCCAACGACAGCTGCAAATTCCAGGTGATGCTCTGAGTGCTTCTGCTTTTGTTTCCTCTAGCAGAGAGAAAACCAGAAATTTAAAAAAAGAATTAGAAGCTTGGTTCCTGCTGTTGGCCTGCTTAACAGAGTCACTATTTTTAAAAGAGAGTGTGTGTTTTGTAGGACTGTGCAACTTTTCTGAGCACACTGTCTGCTGCCTTTTTGCTTTGTGGTTCCTTAGTATTCTTCTTGTACACAGCCTTATTTTAAAAAAAACTTGTTAAGTAGTCGAAAAAAGTAGTGATCAGTTAGTTTAGAGAATCTAAGTATATCACTGAACAAAATATTTATACCTTATATGACTTGCAGAGCAGTGCCCCAAGATTTGAAAGTTATTCAGTTCATCAACATTACATGACTCATTCTATTAAAAGACTAAATATATCCAGTTACAATTTAAATAAACTATACATGTTTAGTTTACTTTGGGATGTGCAAAATAGAGTTTTAGTAGTTGGTCTGCAACTTTTTTTCAGTGGAGATGTATGTAGTAAGAGGAGTATCATACAGTGTCTAGACATCTGTCTTCTATTTACTAGTCTGCTCCTGGATATCAGTCCAGGACACTGTTAGAAGGGTCATCTGTGTGCATCCTCTGGCTCTGTCCTTACAGAATTCATAATATCAGATGACATCATCTCCCTCTGTGTTTTCACCCTACTCTTTAGTGATTTCATTTGACACCATTTCCTCTACATGGATAACCACAGGAGATGCTTTTTGGGAAGAGGAGTTAGTTGTTCCTTGCAAGTCTGGGCTGCTCGAGTCAGTTTTCTACAGGTGATGGCAGGAAAAAACAAGAGACTTCACTTGTATCTGGTCTTTTCAGGATAAATCTTCAAGTCATGAGTGTAACCAGCGCATGATTCTCCTTTATGGCATCGGTAAGGAACGTGATGAAGCGAGGCATCAGCTGAAGAAGATTACCAAAGACATCCTCAAAATTCTGAACAAGAAGAGCACTACAGAAATGGGCGGTAAATGCTTTAACATGGCTGTGTAGTAGCCTGTAGTGAAGATCATGGGAGCAGTGAGGTGCTCAGCAAGTTCTCTGCAGCCATGCAGGCTGATCAACTATTTGGGCTTTCATCCCCTTCTCAGTCACTGGGTGAGGTGCTTGCCCATGCCCTGCAGCACCAGGGTAAGCTGCTGGGCTGCCTTGGTCTGTGCCAGGAAGGCCACTGTGCTTAGAAATCCCCAGTTTCCTGTAGAGCAACTTAGCTGTGCACTCTTGCATTAGGCTAAAGTGCAGAACAGGAGGTACTGGCCAGGGAGTGACATGTAGTCCTTGCCCTCCTGGTAAAACTGTATGACTGGATTTTAGTTTTTCTGGGGTGTCACCTTTTTGCATTGGAATAATCTCAAAGTAGCTTTTATATTGTTACATGCCGTGATGTGTGTTTGTCCCAAGGATAATGGAAAACTGAGGCAAGAAGGGGTTGATGTAGTTGTGAGTAAAGCTTATTAAGACTTTTATTGTCTTTTAAATTGGTAGTAATGCAGAACTACTGGGGCTCCATTAAATATAAAATGACCAAAATAATTTTTTATCTGTTAAGTTGGGGATGAAGGGCAAAAAGCCAGGAAGACCAAACAAGAAGCATTTCCAACTCTAGAGACCGTGTTCACAAAACTACAGCAGCTGTCCTATTTTGATCAACATCAGGTGACATCTCAGGTACCTCCCTTGTGTAAAACTGTAGCCTTTTGGGTTCTGCTGGAGAGATATGAAATAGGAAGCAAATCTAGGTTTTTATAAGTGTTTTATATATATCAAGAATTTTCAGTGCACTGCTTCTTCAAAGGCAAGAAAAAAGTGCTCCCTTGGTGTTCCAGAATACCTGCTTCTGTAGATATTTGGGGGGTTTGTTTCTTTTGAAAGAAGCTTTCTGGATTATTATCAATGCCATTATTTTTTAATGAAAACGTTGAAAAAAACTTCAGTGAACAGCATTGTTTAGGGCTTGCTGGTAAATGATAGTTATTAACCCATCTCTTGCATGTGTGTAAGATATGTCACCCTATCTGTGTTTATGAAGGATGATGAACCCCTGTGTGTTTGTGGAACAAACCGAGTGTGTCTCTGAAAAGCTGGTGGATAATACAGTTTGTTCTTTTCTGGGTGTTAGAATTTGTAGCCAACTTTTCCAGTGAAAAAGCTTTACCAGTGGCTGGCTGAAGAACTTCAATAATTTGTTTTAGATGAGGAGCCCTATTTTCCTGGTTTATGTTAGGACTTTCAAGTGTGCAAATGTGTTAGCACAAGATTTCATCACTTTGCTAGGGTTACTGGTTTTAAGTACATTTTAATAACCAGAGGCTAACATAACAAACAGAGTAAGAGAGGTGTGTGTTAGATACTTAACTCATAAGGCATTTTGAATCTGGTCTTTTGAATGAATTTATTACATATTTTTTTTTCAGGATAATGCACAATTAATTATCTGAAACCATCGATAAAAAAAAAAAAAATCACAGTGTAGTAAGACGAAAAGAAAAAAATTATTTTGCCTCTTCTTTAGAGTAAAATACCCCACAGAATAAAAACCAGTACTGTAAATATTAAGAGCAGTTTGACTCTCAGCTGTAAAGCAGCAGAACAGCATTTTCTGTGTTGTCAGTTTAGAAAATAATACAGCTTTATGAGAGACTTGCAGGGTAGTAGAGTAATAGATACACTCATGCAGGATTTGTTAGTGCCTTTATCTGCAAAATGCTGCCACTTGCGATTGCCACTTAAAAACCAAGAATTTTTGAGCACGGCTGTATCTAAGAAGCCCTCAGTCACCATTTGACTGTTCAACATTGGTTTTCACAGATTTCCAGTAATGTCCTTGAACAGATCACAAGTTTTGCCTCGGGAACATCGTATCATCTTCCCTTGGCTCACCATATACAGCTCATCTTTGATCTCATGGAGCCAGCACTGAATATCAATGGACTTATAGACTTTGCAATACAGGTAAACAGAGTTCATCTGGAGGGAGCATGGGGGTGTGTCAGGGTAGAGCATTTACATTTTTTGTAGAACCAGAAAAAAATTGAGAGCTGGGCTGCAAATTCTCCTGATTTGCTGCCATGCACTGACCTCTGAAACAGCACCAGATACATCCCCTTCTTTCTGACTGTGACAATTATGGAGAGTCAATAGATGTATTTTTTAAATCTTTCAAAATTAATAAAAATCCAGATTATTTTAGCACAGAGTATTTTAAGGTGGCCTTCTATTTTAGGATGGGCTTCACTGTCTCAGACTGAACCGTCATATTACAGAGTAAAGCACCTGAGTGCCAGAGAAGCTGTGAATTTCTGAAGAGCGGGTCTGAGTGACACTGTTTTACTCTAATGGTTCATTTTTTCCTTGTTCTTTGGTGTGTAAGGAATTTAATTTTTGCTTGCCATAAAGTTTTTCCTTAATGCGTAGTTTTTTTGCACCTATTCTACATGTCTAACTTGGAAGCACTTGTCAGTTTTTTATCTTTGTGCGTGCGCTTGCAGCTGCTGAACGAGCTGAGCGTGGTGGAGGCAGAGCTGCTGCTGAAGTCGTCCAGCCTGGCGGGCAGCTACACCACGGGGCTGTGCGTCTGCATCGTCGCCGTGCTGCGGCGGTACCACGCCTGCCTCATCCTCAGCACCGAGCAGACCGCGCAAGTCTTTGAAGGGTCTGTGCCAGCTGCGGTTTTGGTTTTCCAACAAATGTTTTTGGTGTTCTCTCTTAAGGAGAAGCCGCGTTTGGGCTCAGGTAGCGAGCCCAGCTCTCACCCTGCTGTGGAAAGGCTGAGCTCGGGAGTGGAGCGGCTGGCCCAGCTCCACAGCCTGGGACCCATGGCTGGGCTCTGGGACCTGCATGCTGTGTAAGATGGGAAGGTGGGGAGCTGGGCATCTTGGGGCAAGGGGCACAAACTGGAACCTCAGAGGTTCCATCTGAACAGGAGGAAAACTTCTTTCCTGTGAGGGTGCCTGATCCAGGAGCAGGCTGCCCAGAGAGGCTGTGGAGTCTCCTTCTCTGGAGAGATTCCAAACCTGCCTGGATGTGGCCCTGGGCACCCTGCTCTGGTTGACCCTGCAGGGAGGTTGGATGAGATGATTTCCAGAGGCTCCTTCCAAAACCCACCACACTGGGATTCTATACACATTCACCCCATTCTACTCTGTGCTCCCCCTGTGCCTCTGTCCCCTGTCCTCCCTGGGCCCCAGCAAGTGAACAGCTGGCACCAAACTTCACCTGAACCCTGCTAGCCTGTGCATGCAAGGTCTGTCATCATGCTGCCTCATTAATGGTGAGGTTTATATAATGTATAATGACAGACGTGATGGAGTGGGGCAAGAGGAGACCACGAAAATGACCTGAGGACTGGAACCCCTCTGCTGGGAGGGCAGGCTGAGAGAGTTGGGCTTGTTCAGCCTGGAGAGGAGAAGGCTCCGGGGACACTTTCTTGCGGCCTTTCAGTACTTGAAGGGGCCTGTCAGAAAGCTGGGGGCAGAATTTTTAGCACAGCCTGTAGTAACAGGACAGGGTGATGGTTTTAAACTAAAAGAGGGAGATTTATACTAGATGGAAGGAAGAAGAATTTTACAGTGAGGATGATGAGACCCTGTCCCAGGTTGCCCCGAGAGGTGGTCGCTGTCCCATCCCTGGAACCATTCCAGGTGAGGTTGGCAGGGGCTCTGAGCAACCTGCTCTAGTTGCAGATGTCCCTGCTCCCTGCAGGGGGCTGGACTAGGTGACCTTTAAAGGTTTCTTCCAGCCCAAACTGTTCTATGATTTCTAAGGTGCATGGAAACTAACTCAGAGTTCGTTTTTGCAGGTTGTGTGGGGTGGTGAAGCATGTCGTTAATCCCTCCGAGTGTTCCTCTCCAGAAAGGTGTATTTTAGCTTACCTCTATGATCTGTACGTGTCCTGCAGTCACCTGAGGAGCAAGTTTGGAGACCTCTTCAGGTGGGTGTCCCTGAGATGTTTCTCCCATTGCCTAGCCCGTGGACTGGTGCTGGCCGTCAGGCGCGGTCACCTAGCCCGTGCCGGTGCGGCGGCTCCGGTGTGGTGTGTGGCGTCGTGCCTGCGAGGCCCTGGCACGGTGTGGGGGCCAGCTGTGGTGAGCAGGGCTGAGCCCTCCCGCAGCACGGGGGCTCGCCCGGCACATGGCAGCGGAGCCCTCCCCGCACGGGTCACAGCTGCTAGCGGGCTGGGCTACAGGCGGGGGCGGCCG